ATTTTTTAAATAATTTTTTTCAGAGGCCTATATAAGGCGTGGATTTTTTAAATAATTTTTTTCAGAGGCCTATATAAGGCGTGGATTTTTTAAATAATTTTTTTCAGAGGCCTATATAAGGCGTGGATTTTTTAAATAATTTTTTTCAGAGGCCTATATAAGGCGTGGATTTTTTAAATAATTTTTTTCAGAGGCCTATATAAGGCGTGGATTTTTTAAATAATTTTTTTCAGAGGCCTATATAAGGCGTGGATTTTTTAAATAATTTTTTTCAGAGGCCTATATAAGGCGTGGATTTTTTAAATAATTTTTTTCAGAGGCCTATATAAGGCGTGGATTTTTTAAATAATTTTTTTCAGAGGCCTATATAAGGCGTGGATTTTTTTAAATAATTTTTTTCAGAGGCCTATATAAGGCGTGGATTTTTTATATAATTTTTTTCAGAGGCCTATATAAGGCGTGGATTTTTTAAATAATTTTTTTCAGAGGCCTATATAAGGCGTGGATTTTTTAAATAATTTTTTTCAGAGGCCTATATAAGGCGTGGATTTTTTAAATAATTTTTTTCAGGGGTTACCATAAGGCGGGGATTTTTTAAATAATTTTTTTCAGAGGCCTATATAAGGCGTGGATTTTTAAAATAATTTTTTTCAGAGGCCTATATAAGGCGTGGATTTTTTAAATAATTTTTTTTCAGAGGCCATAGAAAGGCGTGGATTTTTTAAATAATTTTTTTTCAAGGCCTATATAAGGCGTGGATTTTTTAAATATTTTTTTTCAGAGGCCTATATAGGGCGTGGATTTTTAAATAATTTTTTTCAGAGGCCTATATAAGGCGTGGATTTTTTAAATAATTTTTTCAGAGGCCTATATAAGGCGTGGATTTTTTAAATAATTTTTTCAGAGGCCTATATAAGGCGTGGATTTTTTTTAAATAATTTTTTTTCAGAGGCCTATATAAGGCGTGGATTTTTTAAATAATTTTTTTCAGAGGCCTATATAAGGCGTGGATTTTTTAAATAATTTTTTCAGAGGCCTATATAAGGCGTGGATTTTTTAAATAATTTTTTCAGAGGCCTATATAAGGCGTGGATTTTTTTTAAATAATTTTTTTTCAGAGGCCTATATAAGGCGTGGATTTTTTAAATAATTTTTTCAGAGGCCTATATAAGGCGTGGATTTTTTAAATAATTTTTTCAAAGGCCTATATAAGGCGTGGATTTTTTAAATAATTTTTTCAGAGGCCTATATAAGGCGTGGATTTTTTTTAAATAATTTTTTTTCAGAGGCCTATATAAGGCGTGGATTTTTTAAATAATTTTTTCAGAGGCCTATATAAGGCGTGGATTTTTTAAATAATTTTTTTCAGAGGCCTATATAAGGCGTGGATTTTTTAAATAATTTTTTCAGAGGCCTATATAAGGCGTGGATTTTTTAAATAATTTTTTCAGAGGCCTATATAAGGCGTGGATTTTTTTTAAATAATTTTTTCAGAGGCCTATATAAGGCGTGGATTTATTAAATATTTTTTTCTGAGACCTATATAAGGCGTGGTTTTTTTAAATAATTTTTTCAGATGCCTATATAAGGCGTGGTTGTTTTAAATAATTTTTTCAGAGGCCTTTATAAGGCGGGGTTGTTTTAAATAATTTTTTCAGATGCCTATATAAGGCGTGGATTTTTTTTAAATAATTTTTTTTCAGAGGCCTATATAAGGCGTGGATTTTTTAAATAATTTTTTTCAGAGGCCTATATAAGGCGTGGATTTTTTAAATAATTTTTTTCAGAGGCCTATATAAGGCGTGGATTTTTTAAATAATTTTTTTCAGAGGCCTATATAAGGCGTGGATTTTTTAAATAATTTTTTTCAGAGGCCTATATAAGGCGTGGATTTTTTAAATAATTTTTTCAGAGGCCTATATAAGGCGTGGATTTTTTAAATAATTTTTTCAGAGGCCTATATAAGGCGTGGATTTTTTAAATAATTTTTTCAGAGGCCTATATAAGGCGTGGATTTTTTAAATAATTTTTTCAGAGGCCTATATAAGGCGTGGATTTTTTAAATAATTTTTTTCAGAGGCCTATATAAGGCGTGGATTTTTTAAATAATTTTTTCAGAGGCCTATATAAGGCGTGGATTTTTTAAATAATTTTTTTCAGAGGGGTATATAAGGCGTGGATTTTTTTAAATAATTGTTTTCAGAGGCCTATATAAGGCGTGGATTTTTTTAAATAATTGTTTTCAGAGGCCTATATAAGGCGTGGATTTTTTAAATAAATTTTTTCAGAGGCCTATATAAGGCGTGGATTTTTTTAAATATTTTTTTCAGAGGCCTATATAAGGCGTGGATTTTTTTAAATAATTTTTTTCAGAGGCCTATATAAGGCGTGGATTTTTTTAAATAATTTTTTTCAGAGGCCTATATAAGGCGTGGATTTTTTAAATGATTTTTTTCATAGGCCTATATAAGGCGTGGATTTTTTAAATAATTTCTTTCAGAGGCCTATATAAGGCGTGGATTTTTTAAATAATTTTTTTCAGAGGCCTATATAAGGCGTGGATTTTTTAAATAATTTTTTTCAGAGGCCTATATAAGGCGTGGATTTTTTAAATAATTTTTTTCAGAGGCCTATATAAGGCGTGGATTTTTTAAATAATTTTTTTCAGAGGCCTATATAAGGCGTGGATTTTTTAAATAATTTTTTTCAGAGGCCTATATAAGGCGTGGATTTTTTAAATAATTTTTTTCAGAGGCCTATATAAGGCGTGGATTTTTTAAATAATTTTTTTCAGAGGCCTATATAAGGCGTGGATTTTTTAAATAATTTTTTTCTGGGTCTACCATAAGGCACACCCTTTGTCAATGTGCTTTCAATATCTTCTAATTGGCTTGTTTGATGTCATTCAATTTTAAAAATGTACATACATACCTACATACTATATGCATGTGAGGGAAAACAATGCAAAGTGACATTTTTATTTAAAAATGTTTCAAAAAAATTTTGTTGTGGTTTTTGACAGGCCACCACCAAATTAAACAATCACGATGACTGATAATATTTTTTGTCGGTCTTTCTTAAGTAATTATGAATAGCTGAGATATTGTTGTTAGACTTGCAGGGGACATTCAAACAAAAAAAGCAAAAAATTATATATACTCAAAGTGAAAATGTTTTGATAGATGGTGGGGCTACAGTAAACCCACGAAATAGGGGATATATGAAAAATGATTTGAGGTTAGAAATTTTTTTTTTTTTTGATTGATTTTTATTTAAAAAAGACGCTTCATATGGATTCCGGTTTTCAGATCTAATTTTTTTTTTGGTCATCAAAATATATTTGGGTAAGGTTCCACTGTGAGTATACGTACGTGAAAATCTTGAGGAAAATTCCGCAATAATCAACCATGAAAATTAGATGTATGCATTATTTTTCGCAGATATTGTCACTAAGGGCACTGGACTACAGTTTTTTTTAATGAATTTTAAAAACAAAATTCCTTCAAATGACTCGGTCAGAATTCTGTACGAAAATCGTACAATATTCGCAAACATGAAAAAGCGATTCGAACAAAATTAACGAAGGGAGAAAATTAAACAAAATGATCTTCAGAAGTTTGTGGAGAACTTGGAGTGACCCGAAGAAGTCATTGTGGGTGCGGACTGAAGAATAATTTCGAATAAGTCGGCCTGCAAACAAATTATGTAAGACCATACTGTAAATATTTTTTTAAATATTTTTTATTGTTACCTAGTGTAATAATTTTAAATACAGCGGTGAAAGTAATTTCTAAATATATTTTATATTATATGTTTTGTGAAACGAATTAAGTTGTCCACGTTTTCACTTTCTGGTCCATAAAAGTCATCTCGATTAGAAAAACATTCCAATTATTTCATGAGGGCATTGCATGGAATGGACAGTGACTATTAAATGCAGTTAAGATAATAGGAAAGGGATAAGAGTAGACTGGACAAATATCCTGCAAAAATCGTACAATTATAGCCCTGAAATATTCTTGAATAAACCCACGCCTTAGATGGGCCTTAGAATGGTAACTATTCCTTCAAAAATATTTTTGAATAATTCCACACCTTAGATGGGCCTTAGAATAGTAAATATTCCTACAAAAATATTCGTTAATAAATCCACGCCTCTTTGATAGACCCTTGAAAAAATATTCTTTAATAAATCCACGCCTCTTTGATAGACCCTTGAAAAAATATTCTTTAATAAATCCACGCCTCTTTGATAGACCCTTGAAAAAATATTCTTTAATAAATCCACGCCTCTTTGATAGACCCTTGAAAAAATATTCTTTAATAAATCCACGCCTCTTTGATAGACCCTTGAAAAAATATTCTTTAATAAATCCACGCCTCTTTGATAGACCCTTGAAAAAATATTCTTTAATAAATCCACGCCTCTTTGATAGACCCTTGAAAAAATATTCTTTAATAAATCCACGCCTCTTCGATAGACCCTTGAAAAAATATTCTTTAATAAATCCACGCCTCTTTGATAGACCCTTGAAAAAATATTCTTTAATAAATCCACGCCTCTTTGATAGACCCTTGAAAAAATATTCTTTAATAAATCCACGCCTCTTTGATAGACCCTTGAAAAAATATTCTTTAATAAATCCACGCCTCTTTGATAGACCCTTGAAAAAATATTCTTTAATAAATCCACGCCTCTTTGAGACCCTTGAAAAAATATTCTTTAATAAATCCACGCCTTAGATGGGCCTTCAAAATTTTATATTTTATATTAACCAAAAAATCTCTTATAGGGTATTGAATGGTCACCACTGCCAGCATTTTTTTTTTTAATCTCAAAATTCTCATTCACCCCATCATTAACTTAATAATACACATTATTTAAAAAATATGTAGTCCCTCAATTGCAACAACCACACATCATCATCACCTCATAGACATACATATGTATGTATATTTATATAGGAATATACTAACTAACTAGCCCACAACAATGCACCAAAATAATTTTTTTCTAATTTTTCAAAATCAGTCTAAATCAAAATGAATCCGCTGACAGACGAAGAATGGGAAGCGTACAAGGTATGCTGGCATTAAATTAAAGTGAAAGTGATCGGAAATCTGAATTGTGGTGTTTTCTTTAGCTTGAATTCAAAAAATTCTACATGGACTCAACTGAGGATGCAATGCGTCGGAAGTTGGTAGCGGAACGTAAGGCATTCATCGATGACCACAATCGTCGTTATGAGGAAGGTTTGGAGACATTCACCTATGGTCTGAATGGTTATACGGATGTAACCGAGGAAGAGAGACGTCGACGATGGTATCGGCCAATGGTTGAGTGAAGGTTTTGGGGACAAAGTGAAGTGAAAAGTGATGAAAGACATTCGAGGCAAAAATATATAAATTGTGATAAATTATTAATAAATAAAATTGGTTAATTTAATTTTTAATAAAATATTTCATATTTTTAAACTAAAAGGCCTATCCGGATTTATAAAATATTTTTTCAAGGGTCACAAACAGTCGTGGTTTTTTTTTAAATATTTTTTCATGGGTCTCACAGAGGCGTTGATTTATAAAAAAAGATTTTTTTAAGGGTTTCAAAGAGGCGTGGATTTAATAAAGAATAATTTTTCAAGGGTCTCACAGAGGCGTGGATTTATTAAAGAATAATTTTTCAAGGATCTCACAGAGGCGTGGATTTATTAAAGAATAATTTTTCAGGGATCTCACAGAGGCGTGGATTTATTAAAGAATAATTTTTCAAGGGTCTCACAGAGGCGTGGATTTATTAAAGAATAATTTTTCAAGGGTCTCACAGAGGCGTGGATTTATTAAAGAATAATTTTTCAAGGGTCTCACAGAGGCGTGGATTTATTAAAGAATAATTTTTCAAGGGTCTCACAGAGGCACAGAGGCGTGGATTTATTAAAGAATAATTTTTCAAGGGTCTCACAGAGGCGTGGATTTATTAAAGAATAATTTTTCAAGGGTCTCACAGAGGCGTGGATTTATTAAGGAATATTTTTTCAAGGGTCTCACAGAGGCGTGGATTTATTAAAGAATAATTTTTCAAGGGTCCATCTAAGGCGTGGATTTATTAAAGAATATTTTTTCAAGGGTCCATCTAAGGCGTGGATTTATTAAAGAATTATTTTTCAAGGGTCTCAAAGAGGCGTGGATTTATTAAAGAATTATTTTTCAAGGGTCTCAAAGAGGCGTGGATTTATTAAAGAATTATTTTTCAAGGGTCTCAAAGAGGCGTGGATTTATTAAAGAATTATTTTTCAAGGGTCTCAAAGAGGCGTGGATTTATTAAAGAATTATTTTTCAAGGGTCTCAAAGAGGCGTGGATTTATTAAAGAATCATTTTTCAAGGGTCTTACAGAGGCGTGGATTTATTAAAGAATCATTTTTCAAGGGTCTTACAGAGGCGTGGATTTATTAAAGAATCATTTTTCAAGGGTCTTACAGAGGCGTGGATTTATTAAAGAATCATTTTTCAAGGGTCTCACAGAGGCGTGGATTTATTAAAGAATAATTTTTCAGGGATCTCACAGAGGCGTGGATTTATTAAAGAATAATTTTTCAAGGGTCTCACAGAGGCGTGGATTTATTAAAGAATCATTTTTCAAGGGTCTTACAGAGGCGTGGATTTATTAAAGAATCATTTTTCAAGGGTCTTACAGAGGCGTTTATTTATTAAAGAATCATTTTTCAAGGGTCTTACAGAGGCGTGGATTTATTAAAGAATCATTTTTCAAGGGTCTTACAGAGGCGTGGATTTATTAAAGAATCATTTTTCAAGGGTCTTACAGAGGCGTGGATTTATTAAAGAATCATTTTTCAAGGGTCTCACAGAGGCGTGGATTTATTAAAGAATCATTTTTCAAGGGTCTCACAGAGGCGTGGATTTATTCAAGAATCATTTTTCAAGGGTCTCACAGAGGCGTGGATTTATTAAAGAATAATTTTTCAAGGGTCTCACAGAGGCGTGGATTTATTAAAGAATAATTTTTCAATGCTTAGAAGGGTCTCAAAGAGGCGTGGATTTATTAAAGAATATTTTTTCAAGGCCCATTTTTTGTCTATCATTATTTTTTTTGTTCCACAAATTACTCATTTAGAAAAGACACCCAATTGCCAGACAACTGGCCATCTTCACATATAAAATAATAACTGCAGGACATTATATTGCCATTGTTTCGCTCCGTTCCGATTGTTGCTTGTCAATGTAGCAAAACCACAAGAGAAGTAGAAAAACGAATATCTTAACACAAAAAAATGCTTGCAATTTTTGAATAGCTGGAGATGAAGATGAGATTACAACAATTAAAGAAAATACAAAACTAACAGCAACAACAACAACATCTTAACACATTTTTGTAGAATAAATCCTTTATTTGATCCTTTTTTCCGTATTCATCTTTTAAACTAAAACCCCCCGAAGAAGAAATAAAAACCCCAACAATAGCTAAGAAAGTGTTAAGACGATAAAGCAAAAATTCAGAGATTAAAGGCAGTGTGTTTTGTTTTATTGTCTCTTCTTGTTTTTATTTTTTCTTCTTAAGAAACATAAGTTGGTAGCTAACAGGCAAATCGGTCCGGTTTTTATTTTTTTATTTTTCCTTCGATTTTTTTGGTTTGTATTCGATGGTCTTAAAATGTTCTTCTATTTATTTGCCCGAAGACTAAGATGTTTTGTCATAAACTATGATAGACATGCCTCAAAATCTGCAAATGGTGCGGTGTGTTTGAGGCATGTATACACTCGAAGAAAAATGTTAGTTGATTATATTTTTGGATACCAAAAGGGAAATTGAGGCTAACCTCTCTCTATATCATTTGCTAACGGAATACCCCTATCTTCCACAGCTTGCGGAATGAGGAATATATTTGTAAAATATACCCCCTTCGATTTCGAGTCCACATTCCATATTGTCTTGGACAGTAAAGACGAGATTTTTTACCTCCAAATGTTCTTGAAAAATGTCGTTCATATGATTTTAAATTGGATTCCTTTTCCACTTCTTCATTATATAAGGAATAAGGAAATATAAGGAATTTTCCACCCCAGACTATGAACTTGATTTTGCTGTGTAGTGTTATTAGTAGTTTGAGGTTATATTTGTGTACCGAAATTGTGTATATTCAAATTTTTTTTAAAGGTCGGAACTTTTATATGGGCACTATGTTATTTCTATTGCCTGTTCGTTGGCTGTCTATCTCTTGGGAAAATTTAATATCAAATTACAGACTCTCAGATTGGAAAAATGGCTTTCGAGTGGGAGCAATGAAAAATAAGTTTTTTTATACACCTGAATTCTGCAATGCTAAATTAAACCCTTCAAAATGGCGGAAAACAAATCCCTCGTTATATGGGGTATATGTCTAACTGTAGACCAATCGCGAAAATTTACTACATAAACATATTTTCACCCACCATGAACCAAGAATGGCAAATTAAAAACTTTTTAGCTGGAAACGTTAAAAATACTGAATTTCGGAAAGGACCTTTATCTTACGGCTATGCTAAAAAAAACGATTTACATTTGTCTGCAGAAATTCCAAATCAAAGCCACTTCATTGAGAAAATGTGTCTCAAACATTCAAAATACTGACAATGGGGCTATGCCAAAGCAAGAATCTACATTGATTAGTTTGTGAATGAATTATCAGCTTCCATAAATATGGAATCGAAGTCTTTGGTTCAGGCACATCCTTTTGTAGAAATGTTGATGATCAGGAAGGGGCTTTTTAAAAAGCTTCTGGTATAAAATAGTGGCGGAGAAGAAGAACCAATAAAATATGACGGTATAGATTGTATACCACCTAGCCAAGATGAGGTCAGAAGAGCAATCAATCGGCTGAAAAATCATAAAGCAGCAGGTGCCTATAGAGGAATAAATCCTCCTCCCCATCGCAAATACAAATCCGGCTTCAGAACAGATTTTTACTCTGCGCCAAATCCTGAAATAGACACACGAACAACACATCTACATATTCCGCCTATTCGTCGACTATAAAGCCGCATTTGACAGCCCTATCCGTTCAGAGCTGTTTAAAGCCATGTCTGCATGGCACAAGGTTAGCAGTTGAAGTCGGAAAGCACCTTTCAGAGCCCTTCAAAGCCGAACGAGGATTCAGACAAGGTGATAGTTTGTCGTGTGATCTGTTTAACATCCTGCTGGAAAAGTCTGCCAAAGTGGGTCTGGCAGTAATTGGCGAGAAGACCAAAACGGATTTTATCAACCCCCAAGACGTCAAGTAGACTCGGACCAACTGTGGAGAACTACAACTTCGATGTAGTCAAAGATTTTATATGTACTTGTTACTGCCATAAATAAAACTAATGACATCAGTTTTGAAATTCGGAAAAGGATAGTTGGTAATATGTTACAAGGACAGAAGGGCGAATAAGTGATATCAGTAGTTATACGCCACAAGGTACATACAAATATTCTTAAAAAAAAAACAAAATATATTTTATTTTGACATTAAGCATGTTTTCAACCCCAAATTAGAATGATCACTATAATATGTACTCTATCTTATGACCGCTAATGACTGATTATCTGCAAAAAGAGTCATTCAAATTAGTTGGCCAGGGGATTCCTTCGCCGTGCATAACTTACGATGTTCGTTTTATAATTATAACCTCTAAAGCGAATAGGAAAAAAACCCTGTTTGTCATTTGTATCCCTGACCGATGGTGGAGGAATTTGATGCTGAAGCATTTGCCTTTAAGGTAGGGGAAATCCTATCACATTGGTGAAAAATCCAAAGAGAAAAAGATTTGAAAGGTAAATAAAATGATGAGTCAGAAAGAGGCTGCGACAAGGAAGAAGGCGGTGACGGTGAGACATTTTGGCGAGGGGCTACAGTTCTGAGTGCAGAAGCTACAAAACGAAGGGGTGAGGTTATGGGGTCTTATTCCAGAGAAGACGAGTCGCGCACACGCTGGGCACCGACCTGAGACATAAAGGCTCTACTAGCAAATATCGACATGTTCGTAAAGTTTATAGATGGTCTGAGATAGAGAGCGCATATGACTATATAGGAGATCTAGCGAGGGGCGCACCCTGTGAAATAAAAGTTGATCCCGCTCGAGTTAACAATGTTAAACGAGGGATTTCTCCGTGGAGTGAAAGTAAAGCAATTCGTTTTGCATTTACACACTAATTTATTTATATAAAAGCAAACACGTTACACATCCTTATCAGTCTGTAGTGTAGATTACTCGCCGTAATCTCACCCAAACATATCAAATTTGGCAATGAAAAATTTCTATCTTATTATAGAGTACAACAAGAAAAATGTGGGCTGTGTACGAAAATAAATCC